AGGCCTTGACCAGGTATTTTGGTTATTGTTGACTCGTAAAGCACCGGACACACACACGTAATCACACGTATATGGGTGTGTCTGAAAATAGTGTACCCCTAAACCCAATGGTTGATGATCATTATCCCTATTAAATGGCTATTTCATTGGGAATATACCCTATTTTCAGACAAACCCATATGGATCTATTTTTGACTTGATGTTACCTGCCTCAGATCTCCAGCAATTTTCAAGTGGAAAACTGGGATTTTCGCAACCAATGGGTACAAGGTGGTCACCTTTTCGGGCGCCCCGGAAAGTGGCAGCTGTGTCGAGGAGCAATTCACGTCCAGAGGGGTGAAACTCATTTCAGGCGCAGTGTTTCGGATTGGACGAAAACCTGGAATGTTGAAGTATACCTTTTATTTCATGAGAAGCATGATGCTTGAGAAGTTGATTTGGTAGATGATTTGGATTGATGTGGCATATTTACGGTATCTATGTTTGGTAATATATTGGTAATATTATAATATATTATATGTATAGCTGCAGAAACATTGCAATTTTTCACCCCCAAAAAAACGATCGGGATATTTACCAACTTCATCAGACCACTGGAACTCAGCCGAGACCAAAAAAATCGACGTTTTATGGCAGGTTATTTGGAGACGATGCAGATCTAATATGATCTAAGATCGTCTCAGTTCTGATTGACTTTAAATCCATCAGATCTTTAGCTATCATATTAGATCATATTAGATCTGGATATTAGATATACCCAAATTAAATGTACCCAAATCATACCACAATATTCTATCATTGTTATACCCCCTGTTTTCCCTGGGTGTCAGTTTTGCCAGAATCCATGTGGACCTGCCTTTTATATCCATTTATCACTTGAACATAGGGTTCCACCCTATGTTCCAGTCATATCTCATGATGGTTCATGATGTTTATACCATTTTGTACCATTTTGTACCTCTAAGTACGGGTCACATCTACGAGTTGTTTCGAACATCCTAATGGATGAATTCGAGTGACCTCACTGACCTCACCGCGAACGTCACCACGAGTCCACTGGCATCGCGAATGGGGAAATTCCCAAGTGTTGATGGCCTTGTTCCCATCCCAGTGCCGAAGTCCATCTAAATCTAAATCCATTTTTTTGACATGCTGAAATCAAGTTCAATCTTGATTTTCAGACTTACAGATCTTGATTTTGTAGGATATTGATTCTTGATGAAAGAAAATGGAGGTTTCCGAAAAGTCATGGGGGTATACCCCTAGTTCTCATCCGAATTTTCATACGGATTTTCCATGAAAAAAAATTATCCGGCTATCGGGGCACGGCCCAGGCGACGTGGTCAGGGAGTTCAAGGGCTCGGAGGGGAAGCTGACGGGCGCCCAGCTGAAGTTGGGGAACACAGATGGGGAGCTGATGGGTATATATCCCAGTATAATCCATTATATACGTATACTGTGTGTATATATATATAAATAGATATATAGATATATAGATATATACATATTTATATCTATATCTATATTATATTAGGTTATATTTTATTATATATATGGATTGTATCTGTATATGGGATAGAATATTGTGGTATTAGATATATTTGGTTGCCATTTTACGCAAAAAAGGGCCGAGAAAAACGCCCTCGTTTTTGATGCTCAGCACCACGGCCGATCCCTCTGAATACCAAGGTTTCCCAGAGGATCAATTCATGACTCTCTGGTAAACAAACATTGTGGTTAATGATGGTTAATGCTATCCATATGGGATATCAATGGTTAATGATGGTTAATGGGGATATCAATGGTTAATGATGGTTACTCTCTGGTAAGCTAACAGTTAGCTATTGAAAATGGCCCAGTCGAAATAGTGGATTTGCCCATTAAAAATGGTGATTTTCCATAGTTATGTAAACGTTTACCAGAGGGTACTTAGATTCAAGTGTTTTTCTTTTGACAAACGAAGAAACATGACTTCGAAACACATGCAAGTGATGAAATTCTCACTTAGATTCACGGGTTTCTCTCCAGACTCTGTTCTTTTTTAGCATCCAACATGAACAAAAACATTGACCTCTCCTAATGATATCTCCATGAAATCCACATTCTATCACCATTAAATCCACATGTTCCAATTTTGTTTGATATTGACCTCTACCATCCCAGGTCAGATTTTTTCCGTACAAAACTCTTCTTCCGAGGTCAGACAAAAACATTTCCTGCGACATCGCAGTGGTTGGGGCTGGCGCTGTGCCCAATGTGGACTTTTGCCCGCCCGAGCAGGGACACCTAGTGGATGAAGGTCCCGCGATTATGGAAGGTCCTGGACACATCTGGACACCTGGAATCATGATGATGATGATGATGATGATCATGATGATGATGATGATTCTTGGTATCATGATTACATGAAACGACTACAACATTAATATTTATTTAAAAAATGGGATTGTACATTAGACCCTCAGAAAATCAGCTTCAGATTTCGCTTTCGTTTTTTCATGAACAGAACTTCAATTAATTTTTCAACAGACCCTGAAGACACCCAAGAGATGGTATCCGAAAGGCGAGAATTCCCTGCCATGGTTTTTTGGAAGACAAATATAACTTGAGCCTGAATATGGAGGTGGATCAAGCCTTGTTTATATCATATTTGGGGGGTTGATACTTGAACATCCATTTACCAGCTAAATTTTGGCGTGATAAGCCAGAGTACCAGCCAGAAATTTGAGCCGTAGACAGGGGGGAGATTATCCCTTTCTTGGCCGACAGAAAGGGCAGCAGAGGGACAAATGTGTCAACGGAAGATCCAAGATTTGTAGCGGTCACAGTTTTATTTATTGATACAAACATATATATATATATATTACTCTATATATATATATATTACTCTATATATATATACACATACATAGTTTTATATATACATGCATATATTTAATGCATGTGTATATTTAGGGATCAGAAATGGATTTGTTTCATTGCCCGATTGGAATGGCACCGTAGTAGCAAATTTCTGTGAGGCACCAGACACAGACAGCAGCTTGTTTCATTTGGATCGATGATCTGTGGCTTTGCAGGTCACTAAAATGGGTATCCTCAAATTCCAATGGTTGTTAGTTACCTCACGAATTCAGGTCAATCCATCATTTCTTTTGGCGCTTACAACCAGCGCGCCCCTTTTTGTTCCAACGTTTGTGCACGTTTCGTTCCACGAGCTCTGAGGCTCAAAAGAGAGCAGGGTGGCCTCTTAGTGGATGCCATGATGTACCTTGGAGCTGTTTTTTGTGGGCCCGCGGGCTCCTTGAATGGCCATTCTCCCCTAGATCCGTGTAGGTCTCGTCACCCGAGAATGATCGGTACCTGGTAAGGTCTAGAGGTGAGTTGTGAATGTTTCAGGGGAATTGTACAGCCAATATGATGATCAATATGATGATCAATTATCATATGCTGACCCATTGCCATAAATACCATATTATCAATATTTATCAATTACCATAGATCCTGTACACACCAAAATGTGAAAAATATCCCTTCCCATTTGATGATCCATTTTACCGCCAAGGCAAACATCACAGCCAGATGTCTATGCTGTAGGCTGGAACGGAGAAACATGGATAATCTGGGTGAAGTTGACATTCGAAATGGGCTTAAACAAAAAAACATGGAGAGGTTTAGTGTGATCATGTGGATGGTTTTTAGCACACTTCAAATCTATGATTTTCCAATGGGGGATGAAGACACAGCTATTAGTGATCTATAAGTGATTTGAGTTCCGCCGTTTCATAATCCATCATGGGTATGCTTAAAACTTATACCAAAATACCAATGTTGGGGCTCCATTGGTCCACGCCTTGCCCTTTCCATATTGCTGACATCTTCATTTCGAAGCCTTCTTCATGAATCGTGATATGAATCCAAGAAGTCCCTTAATAACTTAATAAGCACCTCCAAAAAATCCAGGTTATAATACGTATATATAATATAATATAATATAATATAATATAATATAATATATATATATATATGTACATAAGTATGTATATAATTGTATATATATATATATGTACATACGTATGTATATAATTGTATATATATATGTACATTCTATACATCGTGGGATGTGATGATTCGGGGCCCCAGGTGATATTGCCACCTTCCCTTCCCGCTATGGCGGCTTCCGGCGATGCGAAAATGCCGCTGGGCGGCGCGAAAGTGCCGTTGAGCTGTGGCTATTCATACGGGGTTTCTTAAAAGGGGGGAGATGGATACCCAAAGCCATCGGATTAAATATGATTACCCTCTGGTAAACGTTTACATAGCTATGGAAAGATCCACTCTTTTATAGCTCATGGGTAAATCCACTATTTCTATGGCCATTTTCAATAGCTATGATTGGGTATCCCCCATGTTAAGAAATACCCCCCACTGACTTGGATGATTGCTACCCCATGACTTCGGAAACCTCCGAAAAAATGGAGCGCGGTCCGGAGCTACAATCAGATTTACCCAAGGTAAAGGTTGTGACCACTTACAACTGGGATAGAATGAAAGGTCAGTTATACATATAGATATATATACAATTATATATAATATAATATGTATGTATTAAATTGGTATAAGGTGGTGCACTCCATATGTTTGTTGGTTTATGTTAATTACCCATTAATTGACTAATTCGATATATCTACCATAAACCCGTCCACTTTTGCAGTGATAAACTTGGGTAAGTGGCACAAAAACTCCCGTGAAATCACAATTTTTCTTGGTTTAATCCCCATTCTGCTTGGTTAGAAATATATACATCTATATATATATATAGAGATATAGACATATATATATATATATACATGTATATTGCAATTGGAGCAATTGGTAGAAGCCCTGCTGACCCTGATGATTGATGTAGATCGTCTGTATTGAAAAGCCCCTTCCAGAGTGATTCACTGATACTGTTATGTAATCCAGATGGAACCCTCTCTAAAGCTCACACAGCAGGCAGTCTACTTCTTTTGTCGCCAAAACTGAGAAGTCCAGGTGCCGGCGTAGCCGAACACCCTGTCGGCGAAGCAGAACACACTTCGAAACGGATGCAGCTGCAAATGCCAGGTCGGGCGGCCTCGCCCCTCAAGCAAATGGAGGTGAACCCGGTCACCTATGGCTCAAGATGGAACCCTTTCCCTCCCGCCAACAGTGGCTCGCCTAAGCCGAAATCTAAAGGACATTGATTGGTTTCACCTGAGATACACTGGCGCTTGGAGGGAACGTGACATGTGGACTGCAAGATTTGGTGGAATTCACACTCGTTAAAAATTTTCTGTTTTTCTTTTGGGAAAATTAAAGGTGAAAGTGACTGGTGGCATTGAAAGGTTATATCTCAAGTATCTGTTGCTTCTTTGGATTGGTTCAACCACTTGATTCTGTCCTTGGATTTTGCTCGTTCTTTCAACAATGCGTCCTCATCACATAACCGGTATACCCCCATTTTTAGGGTTTCACGAAGAAAACTGGCTTCCATTGATTTTGTGAGGGCATCTGCAAGTTGGGCTCCACTATGTACCCATCGAACTTGAATACCTTCTTTGATGGCCTCCTTGATTGCTCGAGCTACTAAGGACACCCGGAATTCTGAACAAGAAGGAGGCGCTGTTCGGTTGATTAAATCAAACAATGACTTGCAATCAGTGATGGCTAGATCACATTGTTCCTGAATTGTTGGTGCTGAGATGGCTGGTTCAAGCTTGGACAACGCTTCTTCGGGTCGTCGCCACTGCACATTGGGGTCCATCAGCCATGCCCAGAACAATCTAAGCCATGCTAATTGGTCAAGAGCTGCTGCCATCGCGGTGGTTTCGGCGGACAGGGTGCTAGTCACCACACGCTGGATTTTCCGGCAACCCCATGACAACGGACTAATTGGACATTGATGATTCTTTGATATATTCTTATGGGTACCCACTATGATTACCCCTGCATGAGAATCCGGTTTCTTATGGGATGAGAATGATGCATCTGAGAAAGCCATCAGTCGGAAATCTTTTGGTGCAATAGGTTTAATGACAATATTGACATGATGATGTTTCTTTGCTTCATGGAGTAATTTGTTGGCTTCTTGGAGATTTTCAACTTTGGCACTGTTAATGGAAGATTGCAAAAAGGAAAGTTTACTGGCAATGTCCGGACGGGTGTTGACTGCGGCATACTGGAGGCTACCGATCACTCCCCTTAGGGCAAGTCGTTCTGGTTCAGTAACATTTTGATCAGGTTGTAGTTTCCGGTCACTGGGAATGTTAATGGGCTTGATCTGTTTAATGTAATTGGCTTGTGAAAGGTGAATGCTGTTGTCAGGTTGTTGAGTGATTTCAATGCCTGTGAAGGTGAATGCGGTACTCTTCTTTGATCCAAAGGCATATTTCTGTTCTAGTTTGTCGATCTGTTGTTGGTAATAGGAATTTCCCCCTCCTACCCCGTCATCTACATGGATTCCAAGAACTCCAGCTAAAGACCCATCCTTCTCGCGAAGTACAAACACACAGGGGTCAAACGGACAAGCTTCAAAGTTCAATTTTTGAAGTTCGCTCACAAGTGAACAATACCATAAATAAGGAGCATCGATCAATCCGTATGCACTTTTATTGAGTTTGCCCACTTCGCTTGGCAGCATGTTGAGTGCTCTTCTCATTTCCGGAACTGGATCAATTGCTGTTATTCGATCAGACTGAGGTTGTCCTTGTAGGAAAGCAGCTTTAATGTCGAAGGATTGGAGTGTCCATCCGAAGGATGAAACCGTTTGGAAAATCATCATTCTTGAGGTCTTATTAAGAGTTGGACTATCCCTGGGAATTTCCTCTATTTTCGGGTCTAAATATCCCAATACCACCAACCTTGCCTTTGCCTTGTGGGTCCGGCTGGATGGATTGTTGGTGGAAGCGGCTTCAGGTTGATCTACATTATCCAAGGGTTTCCAAGTTAAAATCCATCGGCATTTGAGAATTTGCTCTTGGGGAATTTCATGGCGAAACACTTTGGTTAGTGTTCCTGTTTGAATCCAATTTTGAATTTCTTTGTCTTTGGCCTGATCAAATTCCTTGCGCTCTGATGGACTCAGCTCTGACAACCGAATTTCTGACCTTTGTTTCTTGGCACTGGTCGCCAGAAACGTCCATGCTTCTTCATTGGTCGGTTGCCGTTGTTCTAGTGGTCTATCTAGCTTGACATCGACTTCGCAACGCCACGCTAATGGACAGTCGGCTGAGACTACCAGGCTGTCGGCAGGGTCTTCACTGATCAGGTACATGGTGTCTGATGTTGCATCGGATTCTGGGAGTTCATTGCTGTTCTCCTGCTCTGACTCGGGTTGTGATATGGATTCATGAGAGACCATTCTATCTGGAACTTCATCAGGTTCTTCTCTTCCAGAGGCTGTTTCCTCATTCAAGTGTTCGGGATTATTTTCATGATATGGTATTGGAAGTTCATCTTGATTGTTATTAGTGAAATTCCTTGACATGTTATGTATTTGTTGTTCCAAATTGGTCCATTGAATTTCTGTGTCAGGGCCAGGTGTCCCTTCTTCGGAGAGGGCACCTCGGACATGTTCTGGTGCACGACGGTACAATCGACCACATTGGGTGGTCCACACTGTGTGATTGTCATCCTGAAGTACTACCCTTTGTGGTCCTATCCATTGGGGGTTACTATTAGGGTTATGTTGCCATATCATTACCCATTGACCCTTTTGGAAGACCCCTCTCTGTGGGCATGGCCGGCGAAGCATCGCTCGTCGCAGGGCATCACAGTTGTCGGCTGCATGATAGGCTCTTCTAGCTCTCTCTCGGACTTGCAACATCTCTCGGAACATGTTTGGGGTGATGGTGTCATCTTCTTGAGTTACTTGGGAGTGGGACGGCAATGATTCATCTGACATCACTGACCCTGGGACTCTAGAGTGTCGACCAAACACAATTACCTCGGGAGCATAACCATGGTGTACACTGAGACAATTCTTTGCATGAGTACACTGGCTCAGAGCTAGTTGCAACTCTTCATATGACGTGATGTGGCTTTCAGTGTCCATCCGAGTGAGCATCGCCTGGAGAAATTGCCCATGCCTTTCTATTTTGCCATTTTGCCAGTGAGCTCCAGGACAGGTTGTCTCTCCTTTGATGTTGAATCGTTGCAGGAAAGCGGCAAACTGTTCGCTGTTCAACTCGGTTCCCGAATCCACCATGATTTCATTGGGAGGTCCTGCCCAGCTAATCCAATGGCGCGTGAGAAGTTGGATCACATGTTCTGTTTCTCTGGAGGGTGATGTGATTGCAACATGAAAATTTGAACCGGCATCTATGATATGGTAAAAGTGAAAGGATTGGCCCTGAGAGTTTGTCCACTTTACCCCATCTACATAGATACGTGAGTTGAATTCCCGTATTGGTTTCAAAATAGCTGGTCTCTGGTGTTTTGGTGGACTACATGCTGAACATGTTGAACATTCGAGCTCTTGCGACGCATGAACAATTTCAGGTCGATATCCGGCTACTTGCAGTGCTCGTGACAGTCGGTCATTGGAAGGGTGACCAAGGTTCTTGTGCATCTGGATAATCATGCGTTGTTCCCACCTTGGAAGAGCTCTGAAATTGGGACCTGTCTGTCGGATAGGTCTTTCCCCTGGCATTACTGCATGTGTCCTATTATCCGCATGAGAAGTACTCGTGGGATTACTGTTGTTATCTTGGATTCCCTCAGGATTATTTTCTGGTACTTCAGCTTCTTGGGAAATGGGAACATTATCACTGGTGAGCGGCGTTGCTGTCACGGGATCTGCATGACCTGATTCCGTCTGACTCGGTGCTGGCTGCTCACTTGCTGGCTCAGGCATTGGAGGCATAGGATTCACACCTTGGGAACTTTGGCTCGAGTCATTTTCAACAGGCCAGGGCTTTGCGAACATCGTGACATTGATTCGACAGGCATGTGCTGGTCGAATCAACTGGCGGTTGGCAAGGTGAACCCATTTTTCCCAGTCCTTTTCATACTTGATTGTTCCTGTTCCCCTTTCAAGGATAAACTTTTCCGGAGAGGTGCTTCCTCTGGATGCATCCCCTTTGGTGGACCTAGGGTTCGGTCGGTTCCTCGACAGGCAATCACATGAATGATCTTTTGGTCATGAAACATTTGCTGAAGTTTCTCCAAGATATTAGGTTCTTGTATAACACTCTTACCAACCCTGGGAATGATCTGATTGATTTCGGTCATGAGGTTCTGATAATCTTCAAGGTGGTGGTCCTCGCTTTGTTTTCCCAACCGTCGACGTTTGACATGGTCATCCCTGGAGGATGGTGTGATCAATTCGGATCTGACAAACTTGGTTTTCTGTCGGAACTTGGTAAGAACATGGATTTCGGCATCAGTCTCTTGACACATGTGGGAAAAGGCTACTTGCCAATTGAACGGCCTGTCACGGTGGTTGTGCATCATGGCTCTGGCTACCTCTCTTGCAAACTTTCGGGGATACACTTCGGTGTATCGACTGCGCAAAACTGTTCCCTGAGGTGTTGTGAAAGACCCTGCTATTGATTGGTGAGAATGGTTACCCCGACAAACTCTCCCATGTAGTAATAGGTATATTGTCTTTGAAGTAGTAACTACATTCATCCCCTTTTCCATTGGCATTCCATTTGATGGATCCTTGAGGTCTCCAGCATTGCACATGTCAAATTGGCATGTCTGCGTATACTGATACACTTCGGCCATTCCTGGAAATTGCAGCATGAGGGATCTGGCCGGTTGTTCCCAGTGGAAGTGCATTCCTTGAGACACCTGGTGGCGAAACAGCACAATTCCGAGGGCAAGTTGATACATCAGGTTATGTCTTAACTCCTGGTATTTTTCCTGGGATTCCATGGACTTCGAGGAATTGAGATACGACCATGATGACCAAGGTCCGCAGTCTGGGCTATACCAAATGTTTCGGGGACGACGCACTGCTAGCTGCTTAAACAATTTGGCACGGCCATCTGCCTGCGCAAGATCTCCTTGCGACAATCCAAATCGAAAACAGCTGCCGCCCTGGGCCTTTACTTGATGTGTCAAGGGGGAGTCATCACTGCAAAACACTTCAGCCAGGGTTATGCGGGTACCCATTGGTGACATGGTGGCAACTTGAACATCTAATTCCTCTTGAAATTGCTGAACCAATCTGTGAAACTTTTTCATGTCAGCATTCATGGTCAGATACACCTGATCTTCATCTTGACACATCAATTCTCCTGGATGGAGTCGTTCGCCTGATCCTCCAAGTGTCGGATCACTCGGCTCAGGGCATTCTCCATATTGAGCATGCGCGTCTGCAGAGCTTGAAACTCCTCCGCATGCTGCTGGTTCAGATCCGTCAGGGGCATAGTCTCCGGGTTGGACGTCTCTATGTGACATGTTTTCCCATGTGGCATCGCTCTCGATGAGTTGGAGGTCTGAGATCTCGGCCTCGTCCACCTCGATTGGAGTGCGAGGCGCTGCCTTGCACTTGGGCTGACGGCGGCTGGTCATTGGAGCTGCCGTGCTCTTGGCCTTGGGAACTCTCACTGGGAGCTGATTCTCCTCGTGATATTTCAGTTTCAATTCCACGAACTTCATGAGACGTTGATGTTCTGGCTTGACACTGGTTTCGTATCGATTCACCATGAACCGGATCCATTCGGGGTCGGTTCGCCAGACATGTTCCATGGTGGCTCCTTGATGTTTCTCCCCAAACTTGATCTTCTCGGCTGAGAGCTCCTCCAGTGTTAGGTGTGACAGGTCCTCCCCTTTCACGGTCACTTCCTGGTACAGCTTGCTCAAACGCTGGCTCATCGACATGACTGCAAGACTCGGTGCGTTCACAGGATCTGTTTCCTGGTGATGGGTCGTTCTGAGCCAAGTTCCCTGACAGTTCACCTGATTTTCCCTTTGCTTCCCATGTTTGAATCAACTGGCTAACTTTCCATGACCCTTTGATTTTCTTGATTTCATCAACTGACCCTTCATGTTGTTGTGTTGATTTTTCATGACAAACCCTTGAATTGGCTGACATCGGCGACTGCTTGTTTACACCGTCCTCGGATGCAAAAGTCTCATGACAAGTGCCGGTCTTCGCAGACACTTTGGAGGACTTTGGATTGGTACTGTCGGCCGCTTGAAGCATGTCATTCAAATCAACGAGAAAGAGTCCTTTGTTGGTCAACTGAAGTGGCACTGGATTCTTGAACCATGGGCTTGACAGCCTCTGGTTGTGGCAATCGATGTTGGCCTGAAGCGCTCGCATCATGGTGTTACTGATTAAGAACGGTGTGCTCCCGGGGACAATTGCAACTTTGAGGTGAAAATCCCCTACAGGTACTACCAATGCCTGGGAACTGGTCAATGTTCCTTGGTTTCCAAACCTGAAAGTGATTTCACATGAACACCGATACAACTTCTGGCGAGTGCTTGGCTGCAGACCGTGAATTAAATCAGACACATGTTCACTGCCTATGACCGTCTTGGTTGCCCCCAGATCCAGCACTCCGAGGGAGCTATGTGTGGCAAAAAGCACGGCTGCAGACAGATTGATTGTATCTGAAATACCTGGTTTTTCTGTGCTGGAACTGACAGTGGTGCCGGACAGACGGTTCTGGTCTCGGCTGGCTTCTACGGATCCTAACTCTGTTCTCTCACTCTTGGGCCGGATGCATGGCGACTCACTCCTGGTGATTCGGGCCAGGAGTCTCTCACGGGCACTAAGGCTTAGGTTCCCCCATAGCTAGTAGTCCTACCCGAATCATTATGATTCCCCTGAGTACTACGATGGCTATGTTTCCCAAGTCCTACAACAAAAAAACATCAGTCATCCGACCCTTTGTCATGGCACTGGCGTCCTCATCAATGGCGGACTCATTCACTTCGGGCAGCTGCATGAACTCCATGGGCAAACTCTGACTGGCAGCAACGGCATTCCCCTCCGTCACCACGGTGGTGGTGGGTGCAGTGCTGGCGGCTGATGAACCAACTGATCGATTTGATCCAGTTCTGTACGGGCATTCAGCTTTCCAGTGACCACGTCTGCCGCAGGCACGGCAATTCGAGGACATGATTCTGTCCTGCAGGCTGCGTCTTGGCTGAACTCGCTTTCCCTTGCTACTACCCTTCTGGTTGAAGGATGATCCCTTACCCTTGGTGGCATTGTTGGAACCTCGACTGGATGGCCAGAAACCTCTGTTGCGGAATTTCTCACTCAGGCGGGCACGTGCTTCTTGGTAAGCACTGTAGGCGGTGGCAAGATTGGCATCATCTTGCAACATTTCCACTGCAGTTTCTTCAAAATCGGCAATGAGGCAGGCATCATCATCACCTTGTTCTCGAAGAGAGTCAATGAAATTGTCCTCTGTCCATTCATCCTGAGTTACATAAGAGGCTTCAGCGGTTTCATCATCATCTTCATCACAGGCAAGCAAAGTGTTTTGGTCATACACCTTGCCTTTCGGCCCTTTCTTCACTCCAGTCATTTCTTGAAAGAAACTTGCACCTAAAAGGCGAATGGCTTCTGTCACACGCTGCATCGAAAGGTTACCTGAGTTTTCACGATCGCTGTCAAGGATCACCTTCTTCTTCTCCTCGGGACTGAGACCTGATCCACGTAGAATGATGTATGCTTGCAGCTGTTCCATGGTCAGCTTGCGACTCAACAACTTGCTCCATAGAACATCTGTCCTGGCTAAGAAGCTATCATTGGTTTCATCGGCTTTCTGTACTGACTCAAACAACGCTTTCTCAGCATCATCATATTGTTTCTGTAATGGAATACGGCCCCATTGTCCACCCAGCAATTCAATCAGTCGATGGACTGACTTTTCCTCGCCAGTCAACAATTCGGATTGGTGCAGCTGTAGCTTTTGGAAAGCACTACCCTCACATCCAAGGATTAACCTTGTCACCAGCTCTGTCAATTTGGCCTTTGGCCATGCAGCAAGAACCAGTTCAACTTTCTGTTGGTATACGGTCATGTCATCGGATGCAGGATTGAACGTCGGTACCAAGGATGCCAGCTGATTGCTAACACCTACATTGGGCTCAGTGGCTGACGCAGTTGATTGCGCCATTTCCCCGGATGCCGCCCCTTCTGTAAACGGAGTGGGGCAGCTCCGCTACCAATGCAATTGGAGCAATTGGTAGAAGCCCTGCTGACCCTGATGATTGATGTAGATCGTCTGTATTGAAAAGCCCCTTCCAGAGTGATTCACTGATACTGTTATGTAATCCAGATGGAACCCTCTCTAAAGCTCACACAGCAGGCAGTCTACTTCTTTGGTCGCCAAAACTGAGAAGTCCAGGTGCCGGCGTAGCCGAACACCCTGTCGGCGAAGCAGAACACACTTCGAAACGGATGCAGCTGCAAATGCCAGGTCGGGCGGCCTCGCCCCTCAAGCAAATGGAGGTGAACCCGGTCACCTATGGCTCAAGATGGAACCCTTTCCCTCCCGCCAACAGTGGCTCGCCTAAGCCGAAATCTAAAGGACATTGATTGGTTTCACCTGAGATACACTGGCGCTTGGAGGGAACGTGACATGTGGACTGCAAGATTTGGTGGAATTCACAATATATATATATATATATATGTATATACATATAATAAGCCCCCAAAAAAAAGAGGTGGACTCGTGGACTTCTCTGGAAGCTCAGGTGGACCATGCCCGGAAGTCCGCAGCACAAGCCGTGAAGGCAGCCATGGGCCTGAAACCTGAGCCCTACCAGTGCCCTCCGGTAGGCCATGAAAGGATTCATGGTGGGGATGTGACAACAAGATATGCAATATATATATAGATGATTATAGATGTATAAATTATCATCCTGGAGTAGAGATAGTAGAGATAAGATGGAATGTTCAAAGAGATTCCCATTGTAGTGAGTGTTCATTCGAAAATTCCATATTCTATCTACTCCAGGATGACTATATATATAATGTGATGTGATCTGACATGATCCCTGTGGCAAGTTGGAACTCGGAACATCCCTGGTGGTTGAAAACTGGAACCCGTCGTTTTCTGGGGTGTCCAAATGGAGATGAAGATCCCCAAAAATGTTTTTCTAATGAATATGTTTCTCCGAGTCATTGGAAGGTTTTGGCATACGAAGAAACACATTCTCAATACACAAAGCTGTAAATGATATGCCGAGTGGCCGAGTGACTTTGCTACATATACATATACGATCATATAACCCATAGGATCCATGTATGCTATATATGGTAACATTTACCATCAATATACCCCCAATGTTAGCATATATACCATACATGGATCCTATGGGTAATATATATTTATATATATGTATATATTTGCAACAAATTCCCAGTCATTTCCCGAGGTCCACACTGGTACTCTGCCCCAGAACTGATGCTCAGATTGCTCAGATGCACCATGTGGCCGCAGGAAAAACGCAACAACCATCCCAAATCAACAGTGTTCCTTGATGTTTGCCATATCAACCATACATTTCGATACTTCATGTTCTATACATTGAATCAGTTCCAGGATCTGCATGCTGCATCTGGCAATATTCCCCCCAGTCCATGGTTCTATCACTTTTTTCCCATGGAAATCTCCAGCCTTCCACCGTGATTTCCAGCCCAGTTTGTCCCTCCAGTTACTTGCCATATCTCTACACGCGCATCTTTGAGTACACTGACTCTCCCATCGTCTTTAACTTCTTTGGCGATCAGCACGCCCCGCTGCGTTTCGCTGCCGGCGCTTAAGGGAAAGGGAGAGGTACCGGGACTTGTGCACAGCGGTACACTGGGATTCGCCTGGAAAGATATTATCCCAAACAGTCTAAAGATGAAATGGGTACCTATGGAAAAACATAGTTATTCAATGTTATTCACATTTCATATCATTTTATGTATACAAACATTTATTTACGCGCAGCCCAAACATGCCAACGGAGATGCCATACCAAAGCTGCTTCTATGTGGCATTGGGATTCAACCACGCAGCGGAAGCCGCGGCCTTTTTGTCCAAGGATTCGGAGCTGTTTGTCCGAAAATAGGGCAATAATCATGGTTTGATTTTTTCAAATGCTGTTGTTGATTTTTGATCTTAAATCCCCAAAAACAACGTTTGATGATGTTCCCATTTTGGGGATGTTTGATGAAATAGGGCAATAATCATGGTTTTTCAAATGTTGCTGTTGATTTTTGAGACAAAGCCATCTTAATCCCCAAAAACAACGTTTGATGATGTTCCCGGGGGTCAGATCTCCCATTTCTTGCTTGGATAAACCCCAGCTGCGGCACTGACGCGAAGCCACTGCAGGGGATCTCAGTGGGAGGAAGCAGTCAGCCATGGAATATTCCAGTTAGATGATTTCATAGGTGATATGGTGATATGAATTGGAAAAAAACACTTGGTAACTTGGATGCACATCCAAGTAAGATGATTAAGTTGATTTTCCCCCAAATCCATTGTGGGAATTTGTGGGAAATATCTAACATTGTATAAATTGTATAGTATGTATTTCTGGGCTGAGCAAACCCTTATGCCCTCATTGGTTGCGATGTTGTTGGGTGTGACTGGATGAACCAGAAGTTCTCGGTTGGAGATTCGTGGCGATGGTGTTGGGGGTACCACATTAGGTAGAACGGTAGAACTATATACTTGGGTTAAGAGCTTGAGCCATACAAGAATCACAAGAACGTGTCATACCCAGCTTAAAACAAATGCAGGATATCTACGGTATGTGAGATGAGGCACGATCGTTGGCATTTTTTGATGTTGGGTATGAGTGATTGCTGGTTTCATATGAACAATTCACTGAGCTCACAAAATATTTTTAAAAAAAAACTTTGAAACATACTGAAACTTCCATGACCATCTACAGGCGGGCGGAGTTCTCAACTTAGGCTTTTTTTGAATGGAAGGCGTGTCCCATTTAATGCCAAGTTCGTACGAATAACCCTCCCCAGAAGGTCTAGATCCATGAGAAGGTATTCCCCCAAATACTTGACAGCGGAACCAAAAATGCGATTCATGAGATTTAGTATGAGAAATGCCTTGAATCCATTGGTTTTCCATGGGTTTTCCATTGGTTTTATAATCCAAAAATTTGGATCTTCCAGAATGGTGTTTTTAAATAGAGGGTTACCACCCATGTTGATTCGAAGTAGCATTGCCAACAATTTTTTGCACTGTGGGTGTTGATTAATTCGGGGGTGATTATTAATAGAACGACTTAACATTAACTAGATCAAAACCCGTGTCTCATCTTTGTAGATGATTTGTTTGCGTTGTTGCAACGGCGATGCAGTGGGTGATTTTTTTTAGTGATTTTCATTTCCAGGTTTTGCCTGAAAATAGAATGCCGGAGTCCATCCTTTGCTCATAATCTTCCACCATTTCCTGGCCAGAAAAAGGGGCATTCCCCATTTTCAGTCCCATCTTCAGTGGAAAATGTCAAACGTTCGCCCAAATCCTGGCCCTTGCTTCGCCGGGTAACATGGGGTTCAAGAGTTTGGGGTGGACCTCCCACACGACGGTCCACTATGTTTATGAAAAGGATAGAGCTGAGAGCTGTCTTGTGCATTCCTAGTAATCTGTTCTGAAGGCCAGCTTGAATTACCATGTGAATTCATTCGCTAATCTAATCCAGTGGAACATCACATATAATGTAGTATACTAATTATAGTTGATAGGTGAAATGGATGGAATGGATGGATGAATGGATGGATTGACAAAATAGAAAGAAAGAAGAAACGAAAGAACAAAAGACATGTAGATAAATAGATACTCTATATATATATAGTCATATAGTCATATAGTAGATAACTTCTTCTTAAACATTGCTCCATGTCCCACATCGCCAGGCTTCAAAAACAGCATCATGGAGCTGCGGGGTGTAAACCTGGCGTTAATACCGCAGCTGCGAAATTCAGGTAGCCGCTTTCACGGGGTGTTCAGTTGGATTCTTGCTGGAAAGTGCAGGAAGAATCCAACTTCTCACATGTTCTCACTGGAATGTGATGATTGAATATGATTGATAGCTATTTCGGAAAATGATTGAAATTCCCTGGCCTGGTTTTCACCACAGAAACTGCACC